TTCCCTTTTCCCTACTAACCCCCAGTAAGTCAGAGCCGCGGCGATACCCTTGTGATTCTTGTCGTGCATCCCTCGGGTCTCTACGTGAGGTAGGTAAAGGTACTCGGCTTTCAGAACCCCACCCGCCGCGCATCAAAGCAACATATGTAATAGCTTCCCGAGGAAAGCCAAATTTACCCCGTTACGGCATTCCAATGCAATGATTTTGCTTGAGTAAGACTGGTTAACAATTATGACAGTAGCGGAGAATGTCACTGAGAAGGGGTTAGACATCCGGCCGGGATCAACATGAAGTGGCGATGCGCTGACTTTTACGCGGCTTCTGAAACACAGCCCACACTGTACAGACGAGGCTGGTTGTCCAAAGGGTTCGAGTCATGGTGCCTGGAGCACATATCAGTGTCGCCCTCCACAGCAGGGAATTTCTCGGAATTTCCTCCCCCCATGGTCGGAATAATTTTCCTCATGGCCCCGCTGCTTTGAGAAAATCCGAGCAAAAAGACCCCTCCCAATCTTGCTGGCAAATAATGTCACTGCTTTAGCCGTTAGCACCAGATGGTAGGTTGTCAAAATCATTGTCCCTTTTTTGGGTACCCTAAAAACAGGGACTGTCTTATAATGGGAACCCAGAGAAAGACCGTTCCGACAAGCTACCATGTGAGTAGCGTTTTTCTGGTGGTTGAACGCAGTAAGGCTATATTCCTCATATAAGATACTGTTCCCCCAAAAAAGGATATAATCTTACTCTATATCGGGGACAATAGTATCCCCCAAGAAAATACTACATGGAGATTGTGCATTGCCAGAATCGCGAGCCAGGGGACTGACCCCCAAGTGGAAAGGCTTCCTCGTGGAAAGGAGAGATCTAGGAATCCAAGCGCTAGATCCACAATGCAAAGGGCAGCAGCCTCTGAGAGACATTTAACTGCTCCCGGCCACCGCCCGGGACGGGATGACTTAGTAAGTCTACGTATCACCTCAAAATGGCCCGGTTCTCCCTCTTCTTAACCTACTACAAATAGCCTTCTACCCTCCAACCATAGCATAAGCTACAGTGACAGCACTATCATTCCCATAGGTGTTGGGAAAGTTGACTCATCACGCGCAGGGAAGCCATATGACAGCAGCTTTGTTGAGATCTATTTCTGCTGGAGTCCTTCCTTTAGAAAGCCTCAAAGGCTAGGGATTTAGGGTATAGGGTGCCTCTGCATCTCTTCCTCCAACAAGGTGTAGTGCTCAGAACATCTCCTCCTCGTAGCTGATGGGCCGCTTTCGTTGCTTCTGCCGCCTTACACATATAGTCCCCCTTAAGTAGATAGAATATTCCCCTATTTTCCTGCTAGAATGGAGAGTCAAATGGAAAAAGAACATGGAAAATGAAATGGAAACTAGGGCATTACAGGCCCCCTTAAGCAGATAGAATATGGCTTGGGGCATACTCTACTAAGATCCCCATATACCCCGAATTCTATCTACTTTATGGGGACTTCTACCCTAAACCTAAACCCTAAACCCTTCAATCTTGGTTGCTGCATGGCTATCAAAGTAGCCTCAACACAACAACCAGGGATGAACGGCGCCAGACGTGTGACAAGTAGTGCTTGCATACCAAACCCTAAGGGTCCAAGGACCCAAATAATAGGGTCCCTTTAAAGAAGGTTCTAGGGGGATATATAGGGATATTAGGGGACTAGATAGGGGGATATAGGACCCAAATAATAGGGATTTGGGTCCCAAATAACACTAATATTCGAGTAATTAGACCCTAAAACCCTACTATTTGGATACTTGGACCCTTAGGGAAAGCAACAACCCCTGGTAGCAATCATGTACAGGATGATCCAGCGGCAGCCATGCTCACAATGATGACGAGGGATAACAACAGTCATATTTATCCCGATGGCAAGTGCGGCTAAGGATAGCCATCTCTTTGACAGTGGTCCGTACAGTTACAATGTTTAGGGTCATGGTTTCCTCGGCAGCGAAACCATCCAGGTGATCCAGGCCTTCCTCTGGAACCCTTTAAAGCATTTGCGACATCTGAGCTATAGTGTAAACTCCAAGTATCCCCCTTAGTTGCTCCCAAATCCCCCGTATAACCCCTTTTAAGGAGTCTATGGCCAGCCCTGGAACCCGTGTAAGCTGTGTGGTTCACTGCCTACTGTGGAAAAGTAGGAGTTTCCCAAAATTGAGGGTACCTTTTGGGTGTCCCTATTCCACGGACTACATATTTTGGGGTCTTATTTGGGGTCTTCCTATTTTGGGAAACTACCAAATAGAAAATCGCGTTGCAAACCCCACCGTGCGCGTCTAAGGTTAGTTAGACACTGACCGGCGAAATTACTCTGGCCACATGGTCTATAAGGTTCAGGGCTCGGCCACACTCAGAACCCCTTGATTCAAACTCTGGCTCTCTTAAAATTTGTGATTGAACTGCAAGGACCCGACTGGGAAACTTCTTGCTCATCCTCGTCGGATGTCTCCTGGTGCGCGCCCAAAATAGAACTGAAAGGACGTGCTTTGCAAAGGCAAGAGCGGATCAGCAGAGACAGAATTTTCCCGAAGAGGTACTTGAAGGGTCGGCGGACCTTGTAGGTAGCTCAATGATGAGGGTAACGGGGCCATTCTAGGGCCCATAGGATTTACAAATATTTGTGCTAAGACTTTGTCCCCCTGGGCCTCAAGTAATTCCTAGGTCTGATTTATCTTCACCACCCGTCGTGTTGAAGCTTGGTTAATAAGGTGTAGGGTGGATGTTGAGGAAGTTAAGATGAGGTGACATCATGAGTTTCGTTTTAGGGGACAACATAGGTTTAGCGTTACGCTACTAGCTCTTACCGCACTATGTTTTCTCGAGCTGGCGGATTCAAGAGCAACGTTGCCTGGACATGCCAAAGCTGCAAGTTCATTTTGAATCGATCCATGAAGGTAGCCATGACACCTGAAACCAAAACGCCAATGTGAGAACACTTAGACTTCCAAGTGACATGTAGATCAACTAGCGCCAGCATCAACAACAGCAGAGCAGCCAGCAGCCTCCTTCTCTTCTGCCTCTGCACCATCCAGGCCTTGGGATAATTGAGATGCTGGGAAAAACGTCAAGTAGTAAGTTATCGGGCTAGGGCGGGGTCTTTCAGAGTTCGAGGCTTTAGAGTTCCAGGGTTTAGGCACACGCATCGCACTGCAAGCTCGGAATCCAGGGCTGAGGATCGGCAGGATTTTAGCAAACGAAAGTGCAGCGACACCAGCAAGTATCCAGCACGTGCAAGATCATTGCAAAAGTGAACGATCAAAGGCGCCACATGTAGCGAATCGAGGTCAAACGGCCGCCGCTGGTTGTGAAAGCCTATACTGCATTTCGCCTTGCCCGGCCCCTTCCGGAATAGACCCCGAACAAAGATGTAAGCATGGGTGATGGTATGCAGTGCTTCATAGTTACTGATGCTGTGTTTGAGGCGGGTCTTTGTTGTTTCGCGCGCCCCATGGCAGCCTGTTCTTCATTAACAGACATGAGTGCGCCAAGAAATTGTTCCGTCCCAGGCTCCCTAGAATAACAATACCCAAGAAAAAGCCTGCAAGATCTCCTAGACCTATAATTCCTGCGCAGGCCCCCGCACGCTCCTACTCGGGGAGTGAGACACACCGCCTTTGAATGCATCTTTCGTGGAAGTTCTAGAGGCGTGGAACATTTTATGAAAGTGGAGGGCAGAAAGCAGCAAGACCCATATCTCACTTTCTCAAATCCTCTGGTGCAGCAATCTCATTCTGTGGATTCTGAACAACACCAAGCCCCGCATCTAAACCCAAAGCCCTGCGACAGCCCCCGCACTTCGGGCCTTCCCCTTCGCAACCCCAAGGCCTCCCCTACAAGCCCCATGCCCAGCCCCTAAACTTGAGACTGCCCAAATTCGTACGAACCCTCCTCAACCCTCAAGGGGCCCAAACAAAACATCCTTCAACATAAGAAAACATCTACAGTAGTCCCTAGTTCAGCCCAAAACATGATACCTGCAGCCCTCTACCGACGACACAGTTAGGCTGAAACCTTCAAGTCGCTCAGGACCCTAAGCCCCACTACTATGAGTACTACGAGGCCCGGGCCACTGAAGAGGTCGAGCCCCCCAGCCATAGAAGCCCAATAGCGCCTAGGGCTTCCGCTGTCATAGGGTTTAGCGTTCAGGGTTTTGCCGCTGGCACGACCATAAAGCATTGCAAGGTGACCAAAGATGACCAAAGTATCCTTTTTCTCTGCGAAATGGGCCCACCACTATGGGCTATTAGACCAAGGGTACCTTAATCTACCCTGAATAGGGTCCTAATTGGGAATTTTAGGGTCTAATAGCCCATAGTGGTGAGAGGCAATAGACCAAAGCCAAAGCTTAGGTCTCTGTGTCAAGGGAAGGCTGGCTAGGAAACTCTCGCTGATGGATCAGCGAGGCCTTAAATCTCCAGAGCGTGTTCTTGTGTATGCCTGCTGGTTACTGCAGCCAATTTTACATTACGTCATGGCCAGCTCTGCATCCTGCCCACAGTTCGGGCCGGTGCACACAGAAAAGCAAATTATCCTCAGACCTTCACTGCCAGTATCAGAACGACAGCATGTTCTGGTGTCGCAAACCTAGCAGACTTTCGAGATTTGCCATGGCCTTGAAGGTTTCAAGGACAAGCTTTGCAAGAGATTCGTTGGTCCGTGCCGGGCGCAAGGCATAGTGCGGGCGCTGCACCGCGGAAGACCACGAGTCTAAAACTTGGAACAGTCCCGAAATGTCCCGAACGAATCGAAGGAACAACCACTAGAACAGAATGTGCTGCTCTGTTGTGTCAGGGTACAACAGCCTGCAACTTGAGGAACGGTCTTCTGTAATCCCTTTAGACCTATAATAAACACAACATGCTTGAATGGTTCCTCGGAGTTATGCTACAACAGACATCTCTCGTTGCAGGTTCCGCAGCCTGTGAACGCAGTCATTGCTAACGTTCACAAGTTTCGAGGGGCACGCTTACTCCTCACAGTCCTCAGCAGTGAAGGCTGAGGACCCCCCACGCATGAACGACTTCTCCGTATCACCAGTCACTCCGTCATCCAGAAGCTGAAGCAGCTGCTGCATGTTGGCCTCGGAGTACAAGCGTGGAAGAGAGGCGTTAAAGCCGAGCTTCATCTCCAAATTTTGGCGGATCTCCTTGAGGCCGGCCATGGCATCCTGCATCTCTTGCACCGCCTTCAAGCGGCGGTGGGGGATCGTGGGCACCGTGTACAGGGAGCTGACGGCGTCGCGCTTCGCGGCGGACACCGGATTTGCCTTGAGAATGTTGCCCTTGGCGCAGCCCGCATGCACAGCTGCACCGAAGGGAGCCATGGCAGCGGCAGCGGTGATGATGCCTGAGATGCTTGCGCCGCACAGCGCGCTAACGTCCAGCAAGTCCTGGCAGTGCACCACGATGAGGTTGATGAAGACAATGACCTGACTCATGTAGGCAATCGCGCCGCCAATGTCCACGGTACACAGAGCATCGAAGACGCCAGTGACCTTGTTGATGGGTCCTTGACGGTTAATGCGGCCGCAAAAGCCGCTGTTCACGGCAGAGTTGATGGAAATACCCATGTTGGCAATGTTGGCCACCACCATGCCGACGTTCACCCCACACTGCACACCAACGCCAATGGGACCCTCACCCACGAGTAGTCGTCGCGGGTTTCCTCGAACGGTCTGGTCTCCGAGGACACTGACCTTGGAGGTGGTCAGCTGCGGTGGAACGCCCGTGCATGTAGCCGCTGCAAGAGACGCTGTGGCTGCCAACTCTCCCATCACGGCGACCAGACCAGTAACGCCCACGGCGCACACGGCATTCACGTTCAGGGTCATGGCGCAGTTCGAGGCAGCGTAAGCCAACCGTGCGGCGGCATTCCCCACCCAGGTGACAAGGATGCCCGCGTCCACCTGGCAAGCGAGCTCCGACTCACCGTTGGTAAGAGGCGGAGGGCAGACCCTGATGATTGCATTGATGTCGTCACCTAGGCCCACCACAGAGACAAAGGCCTCCAGGACGTTGAAGGCACAGTACGCATTCGTCGCCTCGCGAGCTCGCTTCGCCTTCTTGTCTGCCCTGTAGGCAATGATCTCTTCCTTGGTCAGCATGTCACGGCCAGCATCCGCAGGGTTTGCCGGCAGTGCTCGATCCTGCTTCTGGTCGAAGTGATGGGAAAACTTGTGCCCGGTGGTCTTCATGGCCTTCAGCACGATCTTCTCGGCCAGCTTGCGCTTCTTGACGCTCTTCAGGGCATTGGCCTTCAGAGTCATCTGCGCATCCAAGTCTAGGGCAGATTTGCCCTGGAACTCCCCGAAATTCAAGGGGTCACACTTCTTTGTCCCAGGCCAGGCCATGACGGCGACAAGGCCCAGCCCCAACGCTACCACCAAAGTCACGTATGGAGCTAGAGGCATCGCCCGCTGGTCTGACGCCTTGGGCCAAGTGCGGGCACTCGGCGAAGGTGGACGTCCTTCGAACTCCCTCGCCTCCTCCTCGGACTCCACGAGGACAGATTCGAAAGGCTGGGATGGCTGGGCCATGATGGTAGGATTCAAATCCGCAATGGTGTAGGAGACGTTTGCACTGCGGCTTTGCAGCTTGCAAATGCAGCTTAAGCCAAAAGAGCATTTAGGGTGTAGGGTTGCTTGCATGCCCGACTTTTTGGGATCATTCTAAGAAACCCTAGGGAATAACCTTGACTCATATGAGATTTACATGGAGCCATTTGAGCTATAGTCCAAACTCCTATCCCCTTTAAGAACACCTATAAAAGTCCCCTACGTACTCCCTCATATAGCCTCTTTGAGGGAGTTTAGACTATGGCTCATATTGGGGGAAACCTGTCAGGGATGTGACCATGAGTGTGTGGCAGCCCTGGGGCGCTTGATACTACAATTGACGCCAGAGCTCAGGCAGAACCTTGATACGCTAGACTACCATCATTCCCACTGCATAACCCTCGTTTTGAGAAGCTGTTCAACTGCCGAATAACTCGATGTAGGTGTCATTTATAGACTCTGGGGCCCAATGCAAAGTATTATCTTACAAGCTAAGAGGGGGTCCCATGTAGGTGTATCTTATAGACTTCAGGCCCACAAAAATTGTCTCAAAGCCTCTAGACCCTAAACCAAAACCCTTCCCTAAGCCCTATATACAGTCCCCCTGGTATATTACAACAAGACCAACATCTACCCCATATTCTATCTACCTAAGGGGGACCCTAAACCCAAGGCTGTCTCAACCAGATGTCAGCTTGGGCTGCTTGCCTTTCTTCCTCTTCTGGCGAAACGCGCCGCACTTCGACCTGACTGAGGGAGTTCTCAAAACATAGTATATAGGGTTTAGCGTTTAGGCATTTAGGGGTTTGGGGATTTGGGGTTTAGGCTTTAGGGTTTAGGTCTAGGGTATGGGGTTAGGGAATATTGCTATAGGAATGTGGGCGGTATATGGTTAAGCTTACTGATGCACATGACGGATAAGGGCTTAGCAGTTGCGTATGTTTACGCAAAATACCTGAGGCCATATTTAGATCGTACAGGGATATGGATTGTGTGAGATTAAGTTCAACTATGGGGTGGAGGACTTGTTGCTTAGAGTTTGAGGGGCTCTTCCTTCAGGATCGTAGGGATACATGGCACTGTCTGGGGACATTTGGGACCTAAAGCCCTAATATTTGGGTCCTTGGATCCTTAGGGATACGAACCTACGGGACCGTATCCGCTTATAACCTCGGCTGTGAGATGCCTACGTAGGTCCGAAGGAAAAATCCTCTCCTTCCTGGTGGTTTATGGTTTAGGGTCAGTAGCGAATAAAGGAATATGATTCCCATATAACCCCCAATAATATGTGTATATATATATACATATATATATATATCTATCTCTCTCTCTCTGTCTCTCTCTCTCCCTCTCTCTATTTTTTCATTTATATACCCTTATTCCCTACTAACCCCCCAAGTAAGTCTACGCCCGTGAGAGTTCAGAGCGCGGCGGTCTCATCGACCTCCTCGTTCTCGATGGAGGGATGCTCTTTGCGCTTTCCTGAAATTTCAACTCGAAGAGCTACTAGAATAGGGCTTTGAGTTTCATTCAGCTGTGCCTTAATAAAGGTCGGGACGGAATACAGTGTGTAATTGTCCAGGCTTATTCAGGCTTGGTTGGCCTTTGGAGCCAGTTGGAAAATGTTTTGATATCCCAAAGGCTAACCCAACAGGCTTCTACATTATCAGGCTGCGAGCTTGGGGGCCCACCGGGTGAACCGCTACCTGAGCATGGCAGAGGAGCCTGACAAACTCCTCATAGAGCTTAGACTAAGAGGGTTCAGGGAACAGGCACCGGTTTAGGGGTTTAGGGTTGGGGGGTTGAGGGTTTAGGGTTGGCACGCCGCGGTCTGCCACAAATCGCGGAGGACTATCCAAAACTGGAAACCCACAGAGTGAACACGTCTGAAACATCCGACTTTTGGATTAGCTCCTAGGCCGACTAATCTGAAGCATGACATGTCCCTACAAGCCCAGTTGCCCATGTATTGGGTTGCGGGTACTGAGCCCCAGATGATTCGACATTACCTACAGCCCAGGGACATACCGTATGGGTAACTGGGCTTCTAGGTTTTCCTGAGCTCCTCAAATTCAATGGCTATTGTGGAAGGTTTCTGGCTTCAACCCTTTCGATCTCGGCATCCGCATCTTCTATCTGTGAGCTGCTTAGGCGCAAAACTCGCCTGCCCTCAATCAAGAAAACAAATCCCAACATATATATATATACACAGGCACATGTATTTAGAAAGTTCCTGGGTTGTAGGTGATGGGAGCTAAGGGACAGTCTCCAGCGTATGGGTTACTGGGCTGCTATAGAGGCTAATAAGGTCTATGCTATAAACAGCACACCCTAAACTCTAAAGCGCAAACTTTAAGCCCTAAACCCAAAGCCCTAACCCTTTACCCTGCGACCCAGACCTAAATCCTGAATCCTAGGACCTCTGGATTATCTTGGCAGCTTGCCGTGGCCCGCTCTCCGTGGCCCTGCGGACGGCGCCTGGGCGATGTCAAGCCCTTAGGGTCCAGGTACCTTCAGCCCTGTATATAGAACCCATGTAAAGATTCATCTGCTTCTATTAAAAAAGTATTCTTACAATGATCATGATTGCGATTATGATTGTGATTATATGATTACTGTGATTACGATTATGATTCTGAGTATGATTACTACTAATATTATTGAATATTGTAGCATATTATGTGTACATGTATATACATATATAGATAGGGCTTGGGGTTGTAATGTATAGTATTCACCTGGGGCCTAGGTACCTGGACGCTTTGGGACCTGGATTCGCTTGGAGGCTCCTGAACAGCTTTGAGTGAGGCTCCCCAGACCCCGGGGCAGATCTACGAAGCTGATACCCCTTAAGGGTTCCTAGAAATTACCCATAACAGTGTAACGTGCATTGATGGGGGTTCTAATTACTTTCTAGATCTTCCCAGGGGTATGGGTAAGTGTCCCGCTGTTGGGTATGTGGACCCGTAGAGTAAGCCCGGGACCGCAGATCCTAAACTCTAAGTCCTAGACGCCAAGCCCTAAATCCTAAACCCTTACAGCCCTAAATCCTCAACCCTACACCCTACATCAAAAGCCCGACGCCCATAAAGCCCGAACTTGTAATCCAGACTGTCAGCCCCTGGCACTGCAGCTGGATGCCAGCAGTCCCAAAGCCATCAACCTTGGCTTGACTCTACTTAGGGTTTAGGGTTCAAGGTTCGGGGGTTTAGGGTTCGGGGGTTTAGGTTTTGGGGTTCAGGGGTTTAGGGTTTCAGGGCTTAGGGCTAATGGTTTAGGATTTAGGATTGGGGTTTAGGGGCTTAGGGTGTAGGGCTAAGGGTTTAGGGCTCAGGGTCTAAGGGTTAGGGATGACCATTTAGTGTTTACGGCTTAGGGTTTAGGGGTTGGGGCAGTTCTCAGTGGCTTCCAGCAGACTTCAAGGCTCAAAGGGTGAGGAATTGGTGTAAGGTTTCGCGAGAAGTCAGAGGGCTTCCCATAAGCCCGTGCTGATTCAAGGCGCGCGGGACCTCCCAGTTTAGGATTCAGGCTCCAAGGTTTGGGGGCTGTAGAGTTTAAGGTTGAGGGGCCATCTTTGCCAAATGCATACAACTATCCAAATGGGATGTGGGCTGGTAAACGGTATGGGGCGGTTTCTGGATATGATCGGCCCCTTTCTAGGAGTCTCTTGAATAAGGATTAAGTTGGAACCCCAAACCCTAGACCCGAGACACAAAACCCTAAACCCCAACTACCATGCATGGCCTCTGGGGTAGATATGGGGATCCCGAATTCTCAGAATCTCCTGTAGAAAGAAGCATGCACATGAGCTGAAGTCCAGGCTCCTAGTTTCCCTGCAATTCCATCTTATAATGCTCCCATATATAATCCCATATATAAGCTCCCTTTACGGAGGTTAGAATCTATAGCTCACATGCACTTCTTACTTATTTAGGCAGGCCTGAAGAAAACCGGAGTCCTCATTGCAGAGTCAGGTGGACCTGCAAATCTGAGTTGGTATGCCAAGAAAACCTCCTTGTATTCTTCAACGGGTTCATAGGATCCCTGATGTTTAGTGGGTATTTAAAAGGGTAAAAAGTAGATGGAGGGTCTAGATACTTATGATGCTTACCTGGACCTGCAAAGTATGTGGAATAATGGCCATCTGGCTTTTTCAGGGGGCTGGGGATTTCTGTACAAACAGTTGAGCTCAGATAAGCATCGCAAGCCGCATGCCAAATGAGGAGAAGTTGCTTTTGCTTTACAGCTCATGTGAGCTATAGTCTGAACTCCTAGTATCCCCCTTAATAAGCCCTATAGTAGTCCCCTATATAATCCCTTATATACCCCCCTATATACCCCCTTTAAGGAGTTTAGACTATAGCTCATGTAGGGTTTAAGGGTTTCGGGGTAATTAAGAGCTTGGGGTTTGGCTTTAAACCCTATTGAGGTGCAGAGCTTGGTCCCAAAAATCGTGTGCAAAGGCATTGCGATCTTTACCTGCTCCTCATGCGTGAGAACATCCCGTAAACCCTAAACCCTAAATTTTGTTTTCCAGTATCCCAATGTCACCCCAATGTAACCCCAATACTACCCCAATGGGTACCCCTTAACCCTAAACCCTAAACCTGATTGCCTAAGCCCTTGCACTAAGCTCCAGGCCCTTTGTCCAAGTCAGAAGGCTCGGGCACCTGCGCGAGGGGGAGCTCTTCAAAGTTCGAGGTTTAGGATTTAGAGTTTAGGATTTGGGCCGGGCTGCAAAAAATAGAGGATATAGTCTAGGGATGAAATGACGTAGCCCACATGTGGGTTACGTGTAAGGTCCCGAGCTGTGAGATTTTGGCTTATCTGTTTGGCACTTGAATAGAGAATAGGGAATTGTGCATGGGGCCTACTGCAAGTCCCACTGTGGACTAGATTAGGATCCATTCCTTCCCCTAGAAACCTTGAGGAAACTACGTTGAGGGTTTAGGGTTTAGGGGACTGGGATACAACAAACTTGAGGATTTGCATTGGAGGCTGCAGCACATACCCTAAATCCTGAACCCTGTTTGTTACTCACCTCACCCAATAAACCCCTCCCAATCCCATACAAAATGCGCCGCCAGTTTCTATGATGGCAGAATATTGGGAACATGTCTCATTGGCGGGAAATAAAGCCTTGGAAGGATATATGTATATATATATATACCTCCCGAAAGATACACAAGGTTCGACGGGAACAATACGGACACTGCCCGCTTACAGACAGAAGGGCTGAGGGTTTCGCAGGGTCTTCTGACGACTTTTGTATGCTGACCGTTCGCTGCGCTTTTACGCAACCTACGGCAACATCAGCGTGATGTCAAACTGCATCATTGCTTTCAACCTATTCTTCTCTGCTTGCTTCAAGGCGTTCGCGCCTAGTTATTCCTACGTGCTGCTACGACTCCCTGATACCATCGCACCCACAATATCAAGAGGCAACGGCTTTCTAATTGAGACCGCCCCTTGGAAGACAACCTTGCGCCCTTTTGCTTCGTCTGCAGCGTGGCTCTGTGAAGCCCGTCGCGCGTCACGGATCAGTAGCCTCAGATTGTCCAAGGCTTCGTCAAGGGGTTGTCCGGAGGCTGAAGCTGCAACGATTCTAGGGCTTACGGAGGTGCACCCTTGTGCAAGCAAAGCCTATGAAGTCATTTTACGGAGCATGGAATCTCTTCTGAAAAGCGCCCTCGGCGTTCCCTTGAATCGTAATGCACCACTTTCCAGCTGACGAGTTGAAAGCAGCTGTTCTTAGCAAGGGCATTTGCCAACCGGACAACTATTCTTGCTAGTATTAGTATTACTGTTAGTACGACTGAATCATTACTATTTCTTTTCCCTACTACTGCCACTATTCTGGCAACTCTTTCTATTGTTAGTATTCGTACTGTTCTCACCATTATTACTTTGATTACTACGGCTGGCGTGAAAACAGGGGGGCCTTGGAGATCCTGTGAAGTTTGGGATTACTCCAAAGGGATTAAGCCCTAAACCTTAGGTGGACCCCCCACTCTGCCTAGGGCTTCGGGTTTAGGGTTTGGTGGAACCCCCCACCCTGTAATAGTGATTATAAGCGATAATGGTACTATATGAAGGCCCTGCTACATTCCTATTACTATTACAGGGTGGGGGGGTCCTCATCACCTAAACCCTAAACCTGCTTGTCCCGACTGAGGCTTTGCAAACAATAGTGTGAGACACTGGCGTATAGGGTCTAGGGTAAGTGTTTCCTCAAGTAGGGACCACCCTACCCGTATATCCCCTGAACTCTAAGCACTTATGTCCCCAAACTAGCATACTCATCACGTGAGGGACTCTCGAAAATGGGATATCAAATTCTCTGGCGTGCCTATGCGGGTCATAAATCGCCAAGCACCATTTTTTGGCATTCCTGATCCTGAACGCTGCTCAAAGCTCTGAAAGGTTTGATCCCCAAACTCTGCTCTCCAAACAAGCGAAACTCCCCGTCCCAGGCAAGGCCCTCCTCCCTGAAACATCCCTGATCCATGGGAAACCGAACCTTTGAGAAACTCTTAAACGCTATAGTCCCCCTTGACTAGATAGAATATGGAGTATATGGGGATCTGATTATAATATACCCAAAGCCATATTCTATCTACTTAAGGGGGACTCTAACGCCCCAAAAACGAAACCTGAAACTCCGAAAGCCCTCAACCCCCAAACCCCAAACCTTGAAATCCGGAAACCTCAAACTCTAAACCCTAAACCCTATATAACCCCATTATAGTAGTTTCCATTTTCTTTTCCATTATCCCAAAATAACAAACCCTGAGCCCTCAACCCTAAGCCCTAAACCCCAAAAGCCCTAGACCCTAAACCCCTTGAAGCTTAGAAGCCCTGGTTGTCGTAGCCGCCCTGATTGTCATAGCCCTGTTGTTCGTAGCCCTGTTCCTGCGCTTACAGGGTTCAGGGTTTTAGGGTTCAGGGTTTAGGATCTTAGGGTCTAAGGTCCTTGGGTTTTCGGCTTTCAGGGTGTATAATATATAAGCCCTTTTCAATTGTCGGCCTTAGTTCTAGGCTTTCGGGTCTCGAGTTTGGGGTTGAGGGTTTGTATGCTCTTCCTTGCCTGTCTTTCCTCCCCAATGTGGGGATGTACAAGGAGTAAATAGAATACGGACTTCAGTTTTGAAAAGCCAGAGATTCGACTCCAACATGACATGGAAGCTGGGTTTGTATAATGGTGACGAGGATGTACCCTCCCCAAACCAGGATGCGTACCGCCGCAGCGTAAATGGGCAGTAGATCTATGAAGGGACCCTTATAGACTTCATGTGAGCTGAAGTCTAAACTCCTAGTATCCCCATTAGTAACCCCTATAATACTCCCCTACATAATCCCTCTTCAAGGAATTTGGACTATAGCTGATGTTTGTTCGGGCGCGCTCAGGCTCTCCTGGTTGAAGGGACAGGAGGGCTTAGTAAGTCATGAGGCATACGCTTCTGACCGAATAAGCCATATATAACGACCCCAAGCATCCCCATGATTGATATGCTTACCTAGGCCCCCTGACCCTCCAAGCGCTCTTCCTCTATGAGATGCCCACTCCTATCTCTTGACATGTCCAGCATTGGGCACTACGAAGCTCTGTGGGGGCCCTATCAAGCTTCAGGCTCTCCTTGCCCTTGCCAAGGCTCAGGTATAGGGCCAAGTGTCAAAATGCTGCAACAAGTCCACCCATAAATCTAAGCCCCTGAAAACTAGAAAAGGCAAACGTAGGCCCCTTATGGGAAGGCACAGTCTGTTTGTAAGTACTGCGAAGTTTTCTGGATTTCTCTCATGCTTCTCTAAACCCTAAATCCTAGACCCTAAACCCTATTTGAACATGGGGCGTTAGGAGTCCCGCAGGTTGCCGCACATGCGGTTTAAGGGTATAGGGTGTTGCATTTTGCTTCCTGGTACCAGGTCTGTGTTAGTCATGAGGACTGAGATTTTCCAAACCCCCTATTCAGAAGTGGTCACCTGTTGCCCTAAACCCTAAACACAGAGGTCTTGCAGAAATGAATGTCCTGTGGGATGCTCCAGGATTTGGGCCGAGCATTGGGTTCAGGCTTGAAGGGTCTTCGTCATCGGCAAGGCCAGATATTCATGTGTACAACTCTGAGGGAATTAAGACTCACAATTCTTTCTGTGGTATGCTTTCAAGGGGCCTAACTCCACAACTGTGGAATACCTGGACCCTCCCCTAAACCCACAACCCCAGAGGACTTCTGGAGAAAAACACGATGCCAATGTTTAATGTTCATCCTGTGAGGCGGCCTGTTATAATTTGGGCCCTAATAATGTTCAGGGGTTAGGGTTGTAGGGCTTAGGGTAAAAATACGGTCCCTAACAGTCTTCAGGGGCTAGGGTTTAAGGGTGTAGGGTACTGAATACACAGAGTACCCAGCCCCTCAACCCAACGTAACCCTAAGCCCTAAACCCTCATCCGGGGTAGGTAGTTTCTGGGCTTTTGTTTGGCACAGAATTCCAGGGTGTGATTCTGGAAAAATTATTGGAAGAATCCTCTGTACTAGTGCTGCTATTGTACTCCGATAGCATCCTTGTTCTGAAGCCCTTGCAGAACCTCCCCAGACCCTCCTATGTAGTTCCTTTTTGGGTAGTATGTTATAATCATCCCTTACCCAAAAACCATAACAAACTCAGGAAGGAACTACATTGGAGCCCTTGGGTTCATGACTGTGAGCCTGACCAAGCCAACCCTGAGCTCCAGCATTGCCCAGATGCTGTAGGGTTTAGGGTATCCTCGTATGCCCATGAAGCCCGCTATAGACCCTTCATAAGCCCATGAAAGCGAGCCCTCACGTAATCCCCTGATGATAATCATGAATATTCAGAATATGGCCATCATGTATCGAGGGAACATTCATCATAAGTGGAGCCGGGAGGGCTCATTCAAGATGCTCGAAGGAGGGTTGGGAGAGTGGATCCCTGTAATGATCAATGATCACAATATAATGCCCTGGTGTCGTACGTTCACTCCCCACTAGGCACCAGGAAGTTACCCTAAGCCCTAAACCTAAATCTTGAACCCTAAAACACGGCATATGGTTTCCATGAATTGGAGGACACTCACATACACACTATGATGCTATAATCCTTACTATAAGGACCCCCCCCAAAGACCTCAAATCCCAGGACCCTAAACCCTAAACCTAAAATCCTGAAAACCTAGGCGCCTCGGCAGGCATCATGGGAGGTGCTTCCTCCTGTGACATGCTGTTGATACTCCACTTACTGCGGGTTAGTATATATATATAAATAAACATATATATATACATATACGTATAGAGATTGGTTGAAGGTTAGTGGTCTACCTGAATATGCCCGAACCTCATACTTCCCCAGGTTTGGGGGTACTTCTGGTTATGCAGGATTTTGCATATCAACCGTGCTGAGGGTTTTCTTGGTCAGTGGAACATCAAACGGAAAAGCCAGTAGACAATGACATGGACGCTGAGGCCTGATAGGTGCATCGGCATATATTGCATTCAGGGTTTGACGGTTTTTAGTAGGAAATAAAGCAATGAAAGGGAACATGGAAAATGCCATCTTGTTGGGTTTGCCTAGAAGCAGTTATAGAGATGCCTTCCTTAAGCCCTACACCCTAAACCATGGCAAGCTTTACGTTTTCGAATGCCTAAACTCTACCCAGATAACCAAGCAAAATCGGAAGTAACATGCTTGTTTCAGCAATTTCTGGGTAACGACCCTAACCTTCAAAAAGTGGTTGCTTGGGAGCACCCATGCAATTTCTGGTTGTTGGGTTGATTTGGCAACCCAGGTGAACCCTAAACCCCAAACCTTAAACCAAAATCCCAAAAGCCTGAACCCTTAAACCAGAATGCGGCCCCATATCAGCGGGAATATCCTTCACTGTGCATGGGCTACAAATGAGCATACAGCAGGTTAGCAAAGGGTCCATGTAGGGAAACCGTATACACTTAGGCTCTGAGGGGCTTCCCATATATCCACTTTGGGGAACAAGTATATAGAGCGTAAAGGGTTTAGGTTACCTCCGAACTTTAAATCCCGAGCATTAGATTGCTGAAGCCGGAGGTTTCCCCCGAAACAATCATGAACCAGCAAAAAATGCGCTAGCAAGAGTATCCTTTTTTCGGAGAAGGGCCTATGTGGAGTTTTGTGTTCGTTTAGAGGATAATGCCAAAGGGTCCATGCAGCGATATTGTATATACTTAGGGCTCAAAGGGGCTCCCATATAATTCATTACTTTAGGGCCTAAGTAGACGTATACTGTACAGCTACATGGACCCTCTGGAAATAGGGCCCCCCTATAATGATCCCCGAAATAACCCCCTTCAAGGAGTTTAGACCATGGCTCATATAAAATTCTACATTCCTTTTGAGAACAAGAGGCCCAGGATACATGAATTGGCGGGCCTTAGGCTCGTGGACGATGACGTTGTCTGGAAGCTGCATCTTCGGTCCCATCTTGCCCTCCGGATCATGGGACATCATGATCTTCACCTGAACTGGGCTGCTGATAAGGAACTCAGATTAAGTTACTATAATCAGGACTCCCTATCTTTTACAATATCCTCATATGATGGTATCCCTTTGAGCGGGAAAGTCTTGCAAACAGGAATGTATCTTCGTAGTAGTCCCGATTGAAAGCCCAATAGAGAGTATGTAGTAGTTTTCATCTCCTTTTCCATTCCTTCATTCCCAGAAGTAAGAGTGCCGGCCGTTACTTCCTAACTTCTCGAAGGCCTCGGGCCCAACGCACCTTAGAAATCCCACCGGCCGAAGGTAGGGGCCCAAATCATTACCAAAATGAGTTGAACGTCTGAATGCGGTAGTGAGACTATAGTCCCCCTAAGGTTGTAGATAGAATATGTGGTTTATGGGGATCTGATTATAATGTACACAAAGCCATATTCTATCTACTTAAGGGGGACTATAATCCTATACCAGGAACCTGGGTCCATGACGTTGGTAATTATCACCGTAAAGCTCCTTCATACAACCCTCTTCCAACTCATTTGCCAATCTTCTATCTTGGTAGTAGTGGTTGTGTAACTTCTGTATTACTTGCCTCATTTCCCTGAACCCTTAACCCTGAACCCTGAGCCCGAAACCCTGAAACCTAAACCCTGAACCCTAAACTCTAATCTTCCTTCTTGCTTTATAGTCCCCCTTAAGTAGAGAGAATATGGCTTTGGGTACATGATAACAAGATCCCCATACATCCCATATTCTATCTAGTTAAGGGGAACATATTCCGACATAGCAAAACGGCAGTAATCCTATGTGTAGGTTCATCCTGCTGGGCTGTTTTAGGGTTTAGGGTTTAGGGTTGAGTTTTTTAGGACCTAACTTACCTTTCCAGCAGAAGGATTGGCAACAATATCTATAGGAGCTAGAATCTAGAACTCCCAGTATCCACCCTAATAACCCCTATTAATCCCCTATATAACCCCCTTTAAGGGGTTAAGACTATAGCTCATGTGTATATAGGTGTATCCATACTATGTTAGGGTAATTGCAACCTCATCAGCAACCCGGACTGTCAGGGTGACTTCAAGCTTTCCGCGTCGCATGCGATTGGATCATGTTGCTGTGGGATTGAAAGCTTGCACTTAGTAAGTAGACTTATAACCCCTCTAACCTGTATAAAACCCCTACTTCTCCCCAGTATAGCCTATTTATCAAATCCCTGACCCTCCAAGTAAGGATACAAACTTATAGTCCTTGAGGTTTGGGCTTCAGGAGTTTGATCATCAACGGTCACAGCTGTAAGTGTATCTGTGGCCTCTCCAAGGCGAACTCTTACATCCCTGTAAGTCTAGAGTTTAGGGTTTGCGATGGTACACGGCCTGCAGTTCAAGATATTCCCCACGCGCAATATCGTTGTCCCTCCATCTGCTTGTTTCGACTACAGCATCAAAAGCCTTTTCCTCACACACTTGGCCTACACCATGACCAAGCGCAAAACCAATCGCAACTGTAAATTCATCTACCCTGCCAGCTGAATTATGTATGGCAGACACGGTCTTCCAATGGATCTGTTGGAGCGCCAAACTCTGCTAGAAAGCCCTCACCGCCTTGATTCCGATAGTGCCCTGGCGCATCTGCACGTGACGAACAGCCTCCGAGATGTAGTGCCTCTTCATCTCACAAAAAAGGCAGACCCTCAGGGACCCTGTGGGGTTGAAAGGGGTTAGGGAGATTTCACAAGGGTCCCGTTTGAGGAGCAGGGCATTTTTGAGTTTCAGATGGGCTTGTGATAACAATTTCCAAGCTTTCGATGTGTAAAACTGTGAAAGAAGCAGGGCACGATTCAAACCCCCCAGTGAAAAAATGTGGTTAAGTGTTCGGTGGGTTATGCTACAATAAAGATGAACAGTCAGTTCCTTAGCGAAGAGGAAAACGCCGAGACCAGATCGGTCTAATGAAGCCTTAAAATTACTTTAGGGGCCTAAGGCATTGTCAGCAATGCTGAACCGCATGAAAGTAAACATGGAAACTGGGTTTTGCATAGTATGTAGTTTATAGGGATTAGGTAGTGCAGTGGCCTAAAAACTACTTCGCTTTGCAGCAATCACTGGGGAACTTGTCGACATGTCACTCTTGAACTGAACCTTTAGCCTAAACCCTGCGCCCTAAGCCTGAAACCCTGAACCCTTCCCCTTAGCAACGCTCCAAGCTGGGTCCACGCCTCTTTCTCTCTCCCTCCCTGTAGCGAATGCTTTCCAAAACTAGGGGTCCCCATTTAGAGCATCCCATATCAAGGACCACATGGTATTTGGGGGTGCGTAAAGGAACCCGCATTGTTGGACATATGTATCTGCAGAAGCTGACAAGAGCTATTTGGGTTGCCATCACAATCCTGACCACAGGCAGGTTTTGTAGGGCCAGCTCGTTTCCTCAAGTTAGCCCCTTGTCCCATCACATAAATCCCTAAGGCATCCCAAGGGCCAGCTAAGCCTGAAATCCTTACCCCACTACCCTGAACCCTCAACCCTCAACCAAGCCCTACGCCCCTAAATCCCAAGCCCTAAACCCTAAATCCTAGGCCCTAGATTCTGAACCCTAAGCTCGCATCCCCAAATCCCAAAACGCCGAAGTTCAAGCCCTCTACGTTGAACTAACGCGCCTCTTGGGCTCGCCAGTGGAGATCAGGTAGCCCTGCCTGTGCCCGAGTCGCGGTTCCGGCTTAGTGGGGGTTAGATCCACGGCCTTCCCCTCCCGTAGTAATGGTAAAAAATAGAAGAATGCATGATTAGGGGCAGGGCGCTGGGGAGTTTCAACTGAGGTTTCGGGAGGGGAGGGTGTACTTACATGAACACATGACGCAAGCACTCTGTATTCATCAGCCAGATCCTTACCTTCATGCCGCTGCCCACGGCTTCAGCCCCAAATGCTGCCCGGATCCCATCCCCTCCATAGTGCTCAAAGCCTTTATGCACAATTTACCTGCATCAGACTCTGGCACGGACATGCAGCTTAGCAGGCTTAGCAACTGCGGAAAGCTGTTGTAAGGGCGTGCATCTCAGCGACTGTGCTACATAATTGGTGGCCTCAACGCAAGCTCAGCCAGGGTGCCCTCCCCAAAACTAACATGAAACCCAAGATCGTCTCCAATTACGGGGACCGTAACGTCTGTCGAGGAGGGGATTCATGGACAGTGTGCGCCTGAACTTCATTGCTTTGGCTCGCTGGGCACGGAGCTTTCCACTGATGATGACCTCCACGCCCTTGGCTCCATTCTCCATGATGAACCTGCAAAGCCATATGCATTGAAGGCTTGCTGTATAGGCATACCTAGAAGAGGGTAATTTCAGAATACTTACTCCCAATATAAACCACCATTTAGGGTGAGATCGAGAGAAGCCCTATTACCCCTTGATTTTCCGATATTGGGGTACTATGCCCTAGGCTCGACTCCACGGCCTCAGGACGCCGTAGCAGGCGCGGCGGACGGCCAGGCCACCAATAAGCTTGAAGCCTGGTAATACTGGTTTGCTGTTAAGGAATTTGATTTAAGTTGCCATAGTGGGTATATATAGTAATGAATACGGTTCCCCTAAGATAGAAACTTGAATGAAGTTCCTTCAAAACAACCCAGAATATAGGGCTCAGGGTTTAGGGTAGCAGAATGGAGGATCAAAAAAAGGACAAGTACATGCAAAATGACATGGAAACTGGGTTTGAATGAGAGCTTATAGGGGCTAAAGTCCCCGATAGAATATGGGATATACGGGGTCTTGTTATGACATACTCAAAACTATATTCTATCTACTTAGGGGGAACTATAAGCCGAAATAATTCATTGCCAAGATTGGATCACATTTCTTCGAGCTCCCATAATCCCCCCATACTACATGGGCAGTTCCCAAAAATTAGGGTCCCATTTAAATACCCTAACTATTGTGTAAAGGAATATATAATGTGGCACCCTTTTTAATGGAGGGGTTCGGATTAATGAAAAGTGTTCGGGGAATTATTCAGAATCAGCTATTGTTTGAGGGGTTCGGAATAATGAAAAGTTTTTGGGACCGAAAATAAAAAATAACTGATTCTGAATT